AGATAATGACAGGGATGTATGGATTGCATAGGGCTGTAGATAGACATATAGATACAGACATACAGACACAGAGTAACACGGATAGACAAATGGATATACTTACAGACTTATAAATGGGCATGCCCATAGACATGTAGGCATGCACATTTTTTTTTTTCAACGTTTATTTATTTTTGGGACAGAGAGAGACAGAGCATGAACGGGGGAGGGGCAGAGAGAGAGGGAGACACAGAATCGGAAACAGGCTCCAGGCTCTGAGCCATCAGCCCAGAGCCCGACGCGGGGCTCGAACTCACGAACCGCGAGATCGTGACCTGGCTGAAGTCGGACGCTTAACCGACGGCGCCACCCAGGCGCCCCATAGGCATGCACATTTAGACAGACCTACAGGGTTTGTTTGTTTTTTTAATATTAAAGGAGGAGTGGCCATACAGCAAATAATGGCACAGAACGTCGGGAGGGCCAGGTATGATGATGCCATAGGCAAGTTCATTTATACACAATAACCCGCCCCGAGGTTTTTCTCCAAGGGCCAGCTCTGAAAAATTTGTCCCAAGCAAATTTAGAATCAAATAAGAAAATAATTTAAGTCTCAATTGCCACTCTTGGGGACACGGCTGTTCTGGACCACCAGTGGGGCTGAGGACCCTTGTGTGTCCCTTGTCTGGGAGAATCTGGCTTCCTTTCCCTCCAGGAAAGGCCTTGGAAGGTGTGTTTGCTTTTCCTTTCGTATCCTTTCGTTTCCTTTCGTTTCCTTTCTTTTTTCCTCTTTCCTCTTTCTTCTTTCTTTTCTTTTCTTTCTCCCTCTTTCTTTCTTTCTTTCTTTCTTTCTTTCTTTCTTTCTTTCCAGCTTTATTGAAGTATATTTGACAAATAAAAATGGTCTGTATTTAAGATGTACAACATGATGCTTTGATATGTGTACACATTGTGGAATGATCACCACATCAAGCTAATTTACCTACCTGTCACCTCACATACTTACCATTGTGTGTGTGTGTGACGTCTCCGTGCCCCGCACCTGCCCTGTGCATGATGAAGGCGTGTGGGTGGAGGCTGGGGGAGGAATGGCCTCACGCAGACATGCTTTCGCATGCTCAGAAGACATCTGACAGACACATTTACCGCAGCTCTGGATTCTCACAAGGAGCTCCCCTCCACCCCGTCCTGCTACCCCAACAATCGTCCCCATCCCTGCGGCCGCTCCATTCTCCAGGCGTTTTGGCCAGGGAAAAGGCGAGTCGTCCTGGATTCCTTCTCAGCCCACGCCGGCCCTTCCCTCGGCAAATCCTTTCCTGAGAATGACAAAAACCACAGCCCGAGAGTGACAAAAACCGATATGGCCGTCACCCCCGGTCAGAGTGCTGGGTCGGCTGCAGGACCTTCCTCACTGTGTCCCTGTTTCTACCCTCATCACCCTCTGCTGTCGGAGGGACTCTGCCAAAATACGAAATCAGATCACGTTTTCCTCTGCTCCAAACCTCCCCCTGAGGAGAACAGTTTTGCAAATCGTTTCTCTGATAAGGGACTCGGACGTGGCATGTGTAAAAAACGAAGACTCCACCCGAAAAGGGCAAATGACCCGCCAAAAACTAGGCAAAGGGTCTGATCGACATCTCTCCGAATAGACACACAAGGGGCCAATGGGCATGGGAGACGTGCCCCATGTCAGTTGCAGAAATGCAAATCAATACTCAGATACGTCTTCACAGCCCTGAGGGTGGCCGTGACTTAAAAAGAGAGACAACAGGTGCCGGTGAGGATGTGGAGACGATGCCACCCCCCCCGCCCCCCCGGCCAGTGGTGAGAATGCAAAATGGCACAGGTGCTTTGGAAAACGGGTTGGCAGATCTTCCAAATGCTAAATCCAGAATCGCCATGTGAGTCCGCGCGTGGGTCAACTCGGGCGCCACATCAAAATACCACAGATCGCGTGGCTTGGACCGCACACATTTTACTTCCCACAGTTCTGAAGGCTGGGAAGTCCAAGATCAGGGTGCCGGTGTTCTTAGTTTTGGCCCCATGAGTTTTATTTAATTCAGTGTTGCTGAACACATCGCTGTCATTATCAAGGATGCTCAAACTGTCCCGGTTTTCACCAGTGGGAGTCTCTCTGCCAGCCGGGGTCCTGCCCCGTGGACACGGTTCCCTCCTTCTTTGTGTACTTTCGTGGTTTCGGGCACAAGATGTTCCAGGCTCGTCTTGTACTTTCCCTGGCCCAGCCCTGGAGTTAGCCTTTTCTTCACGGAGCCCTGACTCTCTTTGGTGCCCCCAGGGTGGCATTGCCCCTGGGACATCTTAATTGGACAGAGCAAGGACCTATGTATGTGGATTTCTAGGTATAGTGACAAACCAGGAGTTCATGCTAATGCCTCCAATCCAGCCCAATGACACGATAATCTTCTGAGGCCTCTTTCTAGCTTTCCATATTCGTATTTCTCTCCTCCCGCAGTGACAAACCCAGATCCCGAACCGGCATTATATTTATTCATTTGCTCAGTCCTACAATACCCGGAGAAAAGTTTCAGAATACCTCTTTGGAAAACCGAATTTGTGACACAGAGTTTGAGACTCATTCAGTGGAGTTATGTGATTTATTTGAAATAAGTCAGGTGTGGGGGCACCTGGGTGGCTCAGTTGGTTAAGCGTCCAACTTCGGCTCGGGTCACGATCTCACCGTTCATGGGTTCGAGCCCCGCGTCGGGCTCTGTGCTGACGGCTCGGAGCCTGGAGTTGGCTTCGGATTCTGTGCCTCCCTCTCTCTCTGACCCTCCTCTGCTCATGCTCTGTCTCTGTCTCTCAAAAATAAATAAACATTGAAAAAAATTTAAAAAAATAAGTCAGGTTTGTTTGTTTTTGCTTGTATTCATTTTTATGGATTTTCCCCATATTGCTGACATGGATTTCTAAAAAAATATTTTTTTTATTTTTGAGAGAAGCAGAGCATGATTGGAAAGGGGCAGAGAGAGAGGGAGACACAGAATCCGAAGCAGGCTCCAGGCTCTGAGCCGTCAGCACGGAGCCCTACACGGGGCTCGAACTCACGAACTGTGAGATCATGACCCGAGCCGAAGTTGGCGCTCAACCAACTGAGCCACCCAGGCGCCCCAGACTTGGATTTTTTTAAAGTACACAAAATATCAACACATTTCCCAAAGTCAAAACTATGTAAAAAGAGAACACTGTATTTTTGTTTTATTGGAATTAAAAAAAAACAAAAAACTACAAAAAGTTGTCTTCACAGACATGTCATTCTCTGTCCTAACCCTTCCACTCGTTTCTCACCTACTTCCTTGGGAAACTAATTTCATTAGTTTTCAGTTTATCCCTCCTGTGTTTCTTTTGCAAAAATTAGAAGCTTCAAGTAAATGTTATTTGCCCTTCTTTCTTACACAAAAGACCGCATATTACATACACTTTTTCACACTTTGTTTTTTTTCAATGAACACTATGTGTTAGTAATCTATAGAAAATTTCCTTATTCTTTTTTTTTTTTTTTTACAGCTGCATAGTACTTCATCTTGGAGCTGATCCAGTTACTAAATGAATTTAATGTGTATGGGCGTTAGGGTGTTTCCAATATTTTTTTAAGTTTATTATTTATTTTGAGAGAGAAAGGGCCTGCATGCATGGCGGGGGCAGGGGTGGGGGTGGGGGTGGTAGGGGTAGAGGCAGAGAGAGAGTGAGAATCCCGGGCAAGCTCCCTACAGTCAGCGCAGAGCTTGATGTGGTGCTCGATCTAATGAAACTTGACATCATGACCTGAGCCAAAATCAAGAGTCGGATGCCTAAGTGACTGAGCCACCCAGGAGTCCCAGGTGTTTCCAATATTTTAAAATTATGAACAAGGCTGCAGTGAACAACCTTATGCATAGATATTTAGAAGTGGAATTGCTGGGTCAGAAGGTAAACCAAGTGAAGTTTTTTGAGACATTACCTATTTCCCTCCATTTAACACATCTACCAGCAAAGTAGGCATGTCTATTTCCCCAGAGTCATCAAGAGGGTAAGCTGTCAAGCTTCTTCATGTTTTTCTAATCTGAAGGGTGAGAAGTAGTTTTTTTTTTAAGTTTTTTTGAAAAGTAGTACAGCTTATCCGGCTTCTCCCAAGGATAACGTGCCACATAACCAAAGTGCAATGATCAGCGCCCGGAATTTGACATGAACACATCACTTTTCACTAAATCACAGACCTTATTCTGATCTCCCCAGTTTTTACACGCACTCAAAACTTCTGGTGTATATTTTATTGAAATTTTATCCTCAATGTAGCTATAATTTGGGTGTCTCTTATGGCCAATGAAGTGAGCATTTTTCATAAGTTTAAGGATCATTTGTACATCTTTTTTCATCAATTGTTCACATTTTTGTCCATTTTTCTATCTGGTTTCCACATTTTCCCCCTTTCACATTTAAAGAGTTCTTCATACATTAATGATATTAGCCTTTATCTATAACATATGTTGCACGTATTTTCTCTGTCAGTTAGCTTTTGACTTTGCTTACGGCGTTTTCCACGTGGAAAAGTTACAGAAGATTTTATGTACTCAAATGTATTGATCTTTTATCACATCTGGATTTTAAGTCATAGTTGGAAGGCCTTCCTCCCCCCCCCCCCGCCCCCACACACAAGCTATGGAGGAATTCACCCATATTTTTTTCACCACTTCTGGTTTTGTTATTTACATCACGTTCTCATCATTTAGGAGTTTGTGTCTGTGTATGGTGGGAGGAGTGGATCCTGGGTCAGATAAGTACATAGAACAAAATATTAGCCATAGATGGCAGGCACACGGGTATTTGCCACGCTTGCACCTTTTCTCAAGGTTTGACAATTTGAAAGATAAACAGGGGGCAAAGCGAGCGAGGCAGTTGGCTTAGGGGGACAGGGGCGCCGGGGCCCTTTAAGACGGGCCCCGCCCACCCCGGAAGAGCTCGTCCAAGCCCCGCCTCCCGCCGCGCTCCGCCTTCTCCCCGCCTGCGCCGGCCTAGCCCTCCGCCGCCGAGTGCAGTCACGTGAGCCGGGCTGCGGTGCCCCGGTCCGCGCCGTCATGGTGGCCCCGATGTACGGCTCCCCCGGCGGCCGCCTGGCCCGGGCGCTGACGCGGGCCCTGGCGCTGGCCCTGGTGCTGGCCCTGCTGGTCGGGCTGTTCCTGAGCGGCCTGACGGGCGCGATCCCGATCTCGGGGCGCCAGTGGGGGCCCGACGGGCCGGTCCCACCCGCCTCCCGCAGCCGCTCGGTGCTCCTGGACGCCGAGACCGGCCAGCTCCGACTGGTGGATGGCCGCCACCCTGACGCCGTGGCCTGGGCCAACCTCACCAACGCCATCCGCGAGACCGGGTGAGGGTTGGTCCGACTCCGCGCGGGACCCGCTGAGGGAGGGGGTTGCATGGACACCGGGCCTCTCGCCCGCCCCTAGAACCGGGCCCCTGTCTCCCCGAGGGTCACTTTTCCCGCCCCTGAGACTGCAGCACAGCCATCCGGACCGGATCCCTGGGGCTAATGCAGCATCTCTCAGCTCATGGGGACCAGTCCCTGGCCTTGAGCCAAAGGTGACAGTACCTCTGTTACCCTAGAGACCAGATCCCTGCCACCCAGGCCCCAGTGACTCCATCTGGATCAGGTCCGCCGAGCGCCGCCCCCCCCCCCCCCCCCATCTTGGGCCCGAAGGCTGGTGATAGCTCTTCAAGAGAGAAACTCTCATCTCACTTCCTTGGTTGTGGTGGCTTACCCCATGGGTGCCAGCTTCCTGCCTCTGTTCTAGAACCAGGGCAGCGGGACTGAGCCTAGATTGTAGGCCAGTGGGAAAAGCGCGAGGTCCCTAAATTCACATAGACCCAGATAGTATGTTTGCTTGGGCTCTCCTGATCCTCTCTCCCGGTCCTCTCTCCTGATCCTCTCTCCTCTCTCCTGGTCCTCTCTTGCTTGGCCAGATAGTATGGAGCCAAGTGCTCGGTCCTTGGTAGTCACGATTGCTGTCCTTATCGCTGGGACCCCGGCTGTCGTTCTGACTCCCTTGCTTGTCTGGGCTCCCATTTCTGTGATTCAGATTTTGGATGTGCTCCACCGGGAGGTTGAGTGGTACCCTCTCAGGCCCTGTACCAGGGCTTGTGCCCATTCATTCATTCATTCACTCACCTGATGTACTTGGCTTTGGGGACACAGAGCTGAGCAAGGTGAGGGTCCCGATTCAGTGGGGAGGCAGACAGTGCCAGGAGGGAAACCGGAGCCCGTGGGCGGGGGAGAATTGCCTAAAAGCCTTGTCAGCAGGGCTCAGGCCCTGGATCAAGGCTGTGTTGGGGATCCTAGTGAACCCTAAGTTCCCCTCTACTGCCCTCCCACTGCCCCCATCCACTTTGCTGGCATGCATTAATTCCTGCAGGTGTTGGGGAGATACAGAACGTGGGAGACACCCCCATTCTGGTGCTTTGTGGGACTTGGGAGGGTATCTGGTAGACAGAGGGGACATAGTGAGGAAGGATTTGCTGCAGACACAGCGGGTGGGGCTAATCTGGGAAGCCTCCCAGGGAGAGGAGGCCACAGGGTGGGCTAGAGTCTATGGCAGGAACTAGGGCTCTGTGGCTCTGTGACTCTGGAATCTGGTTACACTTTCTCTGCTGACTCATACGTGTTTTGGGCCCTAACAAAGCCAAGAGGGCCTGACAAATCTCTGCCTGAATGCTGGCGAGGAAGGAGGCACAGAGGGGAGGCCCCGCATAGGGCGGGGGCTTTGTCTTCAGGAGGCCCCCACTGGGCTGTGTTGCTCTGAATTCTGGAAAACAGACGTGGAGAGAGGACTTCCTTGATTGTGCCGGATGGAAAGGTCTTTCAGGCCCAGCTCCTTTGCTCTGCGACCTTTGCTCTGTGAAGGGTAAATCCCTTCACCTCTCTGAACCCATTCCTTCCTCTGAAAGGAAGGGGGGGGGGGAATTCAGTGGGGTCACAGAAAGCACCTCTGTTTACTGAAAGAAGGAATGAGTGAAAGAAAGGAGCAGGTGCCCTCTGCCCCATTTTATAGTTGGGGAAACTGAGGCCTAAGGCAAGAGGCCAGGTCTCTTCTGTACTTCTCGCTCTCACCTCCCCTTTCCAGCATCCTTTCGGTCCAGTCTTCCCATTTAGCACTTGGGACCATGATGTAGGGAGAACTGTTTCAGAAGCAGGGAAACTGAGGCCCTTCAGAACAACCTCTTAGAACTCAGAGGTGAGACGAACTACATGTGGGGTTTCCTAGTCCCCCGATCAGCAGAACCGCCGAGTTGTGGGTGACTGTCTCATTTTTCCAAGGATGGAGGCCAGGAATTTGACTCGTCTTTTGTTTACCTGTACTCGGGATCTCTCCTCCTTCTGTCCCCCAGATTTCGCCACAGGATTGTTCGGCTAAATTCCATTTCCTCTTCCCACATAGTCTGCCCTCTCTCAGTTGTGCCGTATCTGACCTTGGACCGATACTCCTCGTGAAGCCTGGAACAGTTAGGATTGGGTGCGTGGGCATCTGAGCTGCCCCAGGAGGCAGAGCCTTCGCCAGTTTGGCTCTGACCTTGGTGCTGGGGAGGCTGAACCCTCCAGCCTTACCTTTTCCCCCTTCCTTGACGCCCCCCCTCTGTCAACCAGCTGCTTGATACAAATCACAGATCACCTTGGAGTCAGGAAAGGAAGAGAATACCAATAAGAGGGAATTAACCTGTTAAGAGGCAGAGAACCAGCCCAAATCCACCAGCCAACAAGCAGAAGCTTGTGAAGTGGATAAATACCATCCAACTGTTCTTGGAAGTCAGAAAAGATAATCATATTCCATCGAGAATGAGGAAGGAGTGATAGCCCCAGATGAGGTAGGGTGGCCTACATACCGAGGGTGCCCAGGGTACCCTATACCCCAAAGCAGGGCGTGGTGACCAGGGGAGATTTGTGACCCCCAGCTCATCTCACAGGAATGGGCTGGTTTTTCTCAAACGTGGCCTCTTTAGACCCTGGAATCGTCAGGCATTAGGCACCGACAGCGTAAAATCACAGTGTGGCCCATAGACTTTACAGAAAAAACAAAAAAAAACCCGGAGGGAACAGATCAGTGTGCCAACTTTTTATTTTTGTTGAAGGAGTGCATTAAGAACAAAACAGAGAAGCATTTATTGACCTCTGTCAGTTTTATCTCCTAACAGATCAGCTCTTTTAGAGCCAAATAAGCAGAAAGGACGTGTTCTTTTTTTTTTTTTTTTAATTTTTTTTTTTTCAACATTTATTTATTTTTGGGACAGAGAGAGACAGAGCATGAACGGGGGAGGGGCAGAGAGAGAGGGAGACACAGAATCGGAAACAGGCTCCAGGCTCTGAGCCATCCGCCCAGAGCCCGACGCGGGGCTCGAACTCCCGGACCGCGAGAGCGTGACCTGGCTGAAGTCGGACGCTTAACCGACTGCGCCACCCAGGCGCCCCAAGGACGTGTTCTTTACTAGAGAGCAGTCTAATGGGTACATTAAGCTTCAGAAATGCTCTTGTCAGTGGTTTTCTCTTGACCGGGGATCGGGGTAGAGTTTGGCAAAGTGGTCAGCACAACAGGGAACCTAGAGGCCGTCTGCCCAAATTCAAGCTTCCCCGTTTTACAGATGGGGAAGCTGGGGCTGGAAGGGCAAGGACGTGTAGTATGAGGCCGAGTGTCTGTCAGAGACATTTGGGCCCCTTCGCCTGCCTCATCTCTGTGGTGACAACCTTGGAAAAGAAATCATTTGGTGGGTGCCCGGGTGGCCCAGTCGGTTAAGAGGCCGACCCTCGATTTCCGCTTAGGTCCTGGTCTCACAGTCCGTGAGGTGAAGCCTACAATGGGCTCGGGCTGACATCACCGAGCCTGCTGGGGATTCTCTGTCTCCTTTTCTCCCTGCCCGCCCCCCCCCCCCCCCTAAACAAATACATATTAAAAAAAAAATCATTTGATTAGGCCCAGGGCCTGTGGCAACAGAGGGATCCTCAGAGATCAGCCTCAGGGGCTCCAGCCCTGAAATCTGCTGACTTAGAACAAAGCCCCTTGAGTGGGAACTCCCTCCATGCAAAGTGTTCTGGAAATAGGCGGAAACCCATCAACCTGGGTTTTCTGAGCAAAGTGAATACAACCCACCTAAATGGAGTCACCTCAGTTGCCCTTTGGAATGAGGCCGCACACCAGGAGATGGGGGGGGAGGGTGGTGGGGCTATCGCTTCCTGCTGCTTCTTCCTCGGTTCCGTTCTCTTTTAAGTTTTTGGAATTATTATGCAAGTAGTTAATTGTATTAGACAGGTAATTAATTATTATACAAGCAATTCTTGTGGTAAAAATCCCAGCAGTCTAGAAAGTTAAGACAGGATGCATGAAGTAAAAATATAGCCCCAGAGATAACCAGGGTTAGCTCTTTCTTCCAGAACTTTCTGTGCATAAATAGGCCTAAGTATGTATGCCTATGTATAAGCATAGGTATGTGCGCGCGCCCGTGTGTGTGTGTGTGTGTGTGTGTAAAACGCTTTCACACAGACCACCAATTGCGCTTCTCTAATTAAAAAAATTTTTTTTTAAGGTTTATTTGTTTAGTTTGAGAGAGACAGAGACAGCATGAGCGGGGGAGGGGTAGGGGGAGAGAGAGAGAGAGAGAGAGAGAGAGAGAGAGAGAGAGAATCCCAAGCAGACCCCGCACTGTCAGCACAGAGCCCAACGCTGGGCTTGAACTCATGAAGCCATGAGATCATGTCCTGAGCTGAAACTGACAGTCAGACGCTTAACCGACTGACCCACCCAGGCTCCCCTAATTTTTTTTTTTTTTTTAACGTTGCCTCTGACATCTCGTCAGCACATGGCACTCTCTTCCCATCAGAGCAGTCTCCCTGTTATGTCATTACCTGTTTACATGCCGACCCCTCCCCCCCCCTCCCCTGCATTGGCCTTTGGAAGGCCGAGCCTGCTTGTCATTCATTTCTTGGCGCCTGGTACCCAGTAGGCTCTCAACGAGGCTTGCTTGCCCAAAGTATCAGGCGTGCACATTTTGATCGTCTTTTCCTCTCCAGAGCCCTCTCTGGGGCTGAGCTGTTCCGGGCCTGGACCCCTTCCGGGGGCTTTTTAGCCGCCTCCCCATGAGGCTGTTCCGGCTGAGCCTGGCTGTGCCCTGTTTTGTCTCACACTCTCATTAGTGCCTTCCCGTAGCCCTCATTTGCTTCGCAGGAATCGCCTTAACCAGCGTTTCTCCCCTAGGTACAGAAGTCACCTGGGTGAATAGTTTGGTGTCCTTGGAGCAAGGATGAAATCCGGAACCACACGGGAAAAGATGGATAGATTTGGCCGCACACACACGAAAACCTCTGTGTGGCAAAAACAAAAGCGAAAAATCAATGAAAATGCAAACATATTTTCAGTGTTAGTGACAAGCGGAGGGCTAATGTGGACATAGAGAATTTCGCAGATCAATAAGCAAAGATAAACACAAGGGAGAAAAGAGTAAAGCGTGTGAACCAAAGAGCTACAAATGACCAATAAAAATGTAAAGACAAGTGCAATTTAATCGAGGAAAGGATTACAATGAAAACAACACGATGGAATTTTTCGACCATTGCCCGAGCAAAGGTGGAAAAGATTGATAGGAATCATTCCCAGCCAGGAGTGTGTACCTTGTGACGAGGCAGCCTGTTAGTTAGAAACACGGGGCCTCGGGCCCTGCCCCAGACCTCCTGATCAGAATCTGCTTCTGAACAAGGTCTTTTAGCGACACGGATGCACATCAGAGTTTGGAAATGCTGCTTCCCAGGGGGAATGGGAGCCAGCCTGCCTGGAATTGAATTTCGGTTCTGCCCTTTGCCGGCTCTGTTTCACGCTGTGGGTCTGCGGACCTGGTCCGCTCCATGTTTCTGGGAGCGGCGGGCTGGCTGGGGCATGTTCTCAAGTCAATAACAGAGGCACAGGAGGGCGAGTAGAAACCAAGGAGGCCTCCTCCTTCTTCTTTTTTTTTTTTTTTTAAATGTTATTTATTTATTTATTTTTTTAATTTTTTTTTTCAACATTTATTTATTTTTTTTATTATTTTTTTTTTTTAATTTTTTTTTTCAACGTTTATTTATTTTTTTGGGGACAGAGAGAGACAGAGCATGAACGGGGGAGGGGCAGAGAGAGAGGGAGACACAGAATCGGAAACAGGCTCCAGGCTCTGAGCCATCAGCCCAGAGCCCGACGCGGGGCTCGAACTCCCGGACCGCGAGATCGTGACCTGGCTGAAGTCGGACGCTCAACCGACTGCGCCACCCAGGCGCCCCTAAATGTTATTTATTTTTGAGAAAGAGATAGAACCAGAGTAGGAGCTGGGGAGGGGGAGAGAGAGAGAGAGGGAGACGCAGAATCCGAAGCAGGCCCCAGGCTCTGAACTATCAGCATCAGAGCCCGACGCGGGGCTCGAACTCACGAACCGTGAGATCATGACCTGAGTCGAAGTCGGACGCTCAACCGACTGAGCCACCTGGGCGCCCCAAAGGAGGCCTCTTGAGGGCTGATCTTATAACTGGCACACGGTCATTTCCACCCATGTTCTGTTGGCCAAAGCAAGTCCTGTGATGTGACCGAGCCCAAATCAATGGGGCGAGGAAGCGCTTGGCCGTTGATGGGAGGGACCACAAAGTCGCACAGCAGAGGGCACAGATACGGGGGGCGAGGGCAGTAGCAGAGGCTCCCGCAGAAGTGACATAACTCTGTGCCTTAATTTCCTTCTCTTGTGTGATGGGGGGTGGGGGTAACCATGCCGACCTGGTAGGGTTGTAGGAGGGTCGCGAGGATAAATGAGTTCGTACATAAGAAGTGACTAGAACAGGGGCGCCTGGGTGGCTCAGTCGGTTAAGCGTCCGACTTCAGCCAGGTCACGATCTCGCGGTCCGTGAGTTCGAGCCCGGCGTCAGGCTCTGGGCTGACGGCTCGGAGCCTGGAGCCTGCTTCCGATTCTGTATCTCCCTCTCTCTCTGCCCCTCCCCCGTTCATGCTCTGTCTCTCTCTGTCCCCAAAACATAAATAAACGTTAAAAAAAAAAAAAAAAAAAAAAGAAGTGACTGGAACAGCGTCTGGCACAGGGGAAGCCCTCACCGGACGCTGGCTGACGTGATTGTGGGGGGTGGGACGTGGATTGGTACGGCTTTGCGGGGGACGGATGTTTGTCAGTGTTTATTGAAGTGAAAAAAACATGTGCCCTTTGACCCAGCACTCCTCTTGATGGACATTCGCGTGAATGGCCGTTCCTCACTGTGTGTTTCAGGGTTTACCGCTAGAGATGGCCGTGTGCCCAGCCGGGGGCTGGCTTTGCATCTGTCCCCGCGCTGACCAGGTGTCCCCTCTCCTCCCCGTCTAGATGGGCCTTTCTGGAGCTGCGCACGAACGGCCGCTATAACGACAGCCTGCAGGCCTACGCGGCGGGCGTGGTGGAGGCCGCCGTGTCTGAGGAGGTAAGACCGGATCGGGGGGGCGTGGAGGGGGGGACCCGGGGCTCCTGCCTCCCGTCCCACCCAGTGTGTCCCCCAGGGAGCTTTGAAGGGCTCTGAGGTGAGGCGTGTGCAGAGGGGGCTCCCCTGCCTCTGCCCCCAGCCCTCCACCTAACTGGGGAGCAGGGGCTCACGTGCGTTCTCGGAAAACTTAACGCCAGGTACCCTTTGATGCGTATAAAATATACGTAACGTGTCCCCAGTCACGAAGCACAACGATCCAACGAACATCCAGACTAAAACCTAAGGCTGTTACTGATACCTTTGAGGCCCAGCCCCCGCCCCCAGAGGCACCCGTCACCCTAAATGTGACTTCCATTCATGCATTCACTTATACGGGGGATAGAATTCACATGCCGTAAAAGTCACTGTTTTAAAATGCACAATTCAGTGGTTTTTAGTCTAGTCACGGGGTTGTGCAACCGTCACCCCTAATTCCAGAGCATTCTCATCGCCCCAGAAAGAAACCCCGTGCCCCTACCTCCCTTCTCTCCCTCACCCCAGCCCCGGGCAACCTTTCATCTACCTCCTGTGTAGATTCGCGTGTTGTTAGCGAGGTTTCATATGAACGAGTGGTCGCCTGTGTCTGGCTCCTTTTACGCGGCATCATGTTTTCAAGACGCATCCACGTTCTAAAGTATATCGAGCCTCGCTCCTTCTTGTGGCCACGTGATACTGTATCGTGTGGATAGAGCCCATTTCATTCATTTGTTCGCCCGTGGACGGACACCCGAATTATCTCCCCTCTCTTACTTCTGGTGACCTACTTGTACTTCATGTGATGAATCCCCAGGCAACATACCTACTAATCTGCTTTACTTGATTTGGGGCGCTGTGAAAGGGCTCTCATAAATTTCGGAAGTCAGCCCGTGTCACAAGTAGGTGAGGCTATGGAGTGACAGCCATTCCCCCTGCCCCCCGCGCGGGTGGAGGCGTGAAGCCCGCTTTGGAAGATCATTGGGCAGTAAAGAGCAGAGGCCGCCCACGCCCGGGGGTTCCAGCGGCCCCCCGTCATCGGGTGTGCCCGGGGCGACCCGAGGACGCGCTTGAGGGGCTCAGAACTGCCTTAAGGTGGCAACAGCCGAACGCCCCTGGCGCGTGAGTGCCCAGATGGTGCTACAGTGGCAGGGAGCCGATGACAGGGCCTTGATAAGGAGTGAGCCGCCGAGCTGCGCCCAGGTCCTCGGGGGCGAGAGGGAAGAGCATGGGACAGACGACGGCACGCAGTGGGACACTCCTTTATGAAACTCACACTCCTCGTCGTGATACCCCAGCAGCACTTTGGGACGCCCTCCTGGGATCCCGATGCCCAGAGGGCTGCTCAGACGCTGGGTCGGGCCTGTGCTGCTTGGGGCGCTCGGTGGTGAACGAGACCTGATTCCATCTCTCGGGGGGCCCGTAGCCTGCCAGGAGCGCCGGGGCAGGGCCACAGGGCTCCCCTGTAAGGAATCCCCAACACGTGTGCCCGGGGCTTTGCCTGCGTTCTCTCCCTGATCCTGCACACCGCACCGAGGCCCAGAGAGGGGAGATTACTCACCCAGGGTCACACAGCCCATCAGCAGGGAAGCCAGCACTCAGACCCGCCTCTGTCTGCCCAGAGGTTCTGCTGCCTCCCCTACTGGCCCGGGGGGCTTCCCGTGACTGGCCACTGCGTCCTATCCCAGGCCGTGTCCCCTGCACCCAGGCCAGAGATTGGTGTAGGCCAGGCGCTTGGCAAATGCTTCTGGAAGTAGGGGAAGGCTGCATGGTCGAGGTGGCATCTTACCGAGGCCTCGAGGGCTGAGTAGAATGTGAGGGTGTTTCAGGGAGATGAACGCAGAGTGGGGGTCCATCTACACCTTCCCCTGGTTCGAGTCTTGACTCTTTGATTCATTACCTAGAGGACCTCGGGTAAGGTCCTCGCACGCCTGTGCCTCGGTTTCTGCAGCTACGAAGTAGGGATGCTCACGGTAGCGTTTTCTTTACGGAGTTGCCGTGGGGTTCGACCGTGTTGGGTCACGCAGAGTGCTGTCAGTGCTGGCTACGGGCAACCGGCCACTTCTCCGTCGCGCTGCAAGTTAGGGGACTTCCCTCCCCCTGCTGGAATGTCACTGGGTGGATTTGGGATTCCAGGTCAGGTCTGGCTGATCTTGGCCGGCCTCCCCCGGGCTTCTGCAGTCAGCTGACAGGTCAGCCGGGGCAGCCGGGTGACCTAGAATGGCCTCATTCCTGTGCCTGGGGATGGGCTGTCTGCCAGCGGGGGTGATGGGGCGGCGTGGTCTTTAACCTCCCAGGAAGGTGGCCCAGGCTTGCTCGTGTGACATCAGAGCATCGGGGGTGTGGAGGGCCTCTGAGGGCCGGTTGAACGGGCACGTGTTCTCTTGCCCACATGTCGGTTGTGAGTTCCTTGCTGTGTCCTCGGGGCTTAGGATGGGGACACAGTAGGTGCGTAAACAGTAGCTGACTGAATGGGGACGTAGACTGGGCGTCTGAGGCTGTTCAGAGGCACAGTCTGAACAGACTTTGAACGGCGGAGGCTTTCAAAGGAGGGAGGCAGCCAGAGGCTCTGGGCCCCCGAAGGGACGAGAGCGGGGTGGGGGGAGGAGAGAAAGGTGCGGAGGGGGCCTCCCAGGGCGCCTCGGCTCTTTGGAGGCTGGGGTGGGGGCGAGGCATCGGAGCCCGAGTGGGGGGCCGGCTGGGTCCTCCTCGAGGGGAGCAGCCCGGCTGCGCCACCCCGGCCCGCGCCCACCTCGTCCGCCCCGCAGCTCATCTATATGCACTGGGTGAACACGGTGGTGAATTACTGTGGCCCCTTCGAGTACGAAGTCGGTTACTGCGAGAAGCTCAAGAACTTCCTGGAGACCAACCTGGAGTGGATGCAGGAGCAGATGCAGCGGAACAAGGGCTCTGCTTATTGGCATCAGGTGGGCGTGGCCCCCGTGCCCATTGGGCGGGGCGGTGGGCGGGGCTGCTTTGGGGACCTGACTCGGCTGTGGGTGCTGTTGCTCTGCCCGCCGGCCTCCCACCCCTCTTCGCCGGCCCTTTCCCCTCACTCTCTCCTTCATCCTTCCCTCCATCAGTCAGGCCTTCCTCTTTCCTTCCCTCCCTCCCAGCCATCTCCCCACCACCTACCCACCCACCCATCCGTTTACCCATCCACCTGCCCATCCATCCATCCATCCACCCATCTACCCACCCACCAGCCACTTCTCCATCCAGCCATCCAGTCGTCCCTCCCGCCATACTTCCCTCCCGACCTTCTGTCTTCCTTTTCCCTCGATCCTTCCTTCTCTCCCTTTCACCTGTCTACCCATCTGTCCATCTTCCATTCATCCTTCCCTCCCACCCCGCCCTCTGTATGTCTAGTTTGTCCACACATTTACCACCCACAAGCTTATCCCATCTTTCACTCTCTTCCTGTCACCCATCTGTTACCCCCACCCATTATAGCCCCACCCTTCCCGCCATTGATGTGCCCCATTGGGTTGTCTGTCTGTGTCCCTGTGCACCGCCTACCCATCTGCACACTTCCCCCCTACGCCCCGCCCCCTCCCATTCACTTGCCCAGCTGTCTGTCTGACCAGCCACCCTGTCTGCTTTATTCCTCACCTTCTCCCTGGCCATCGGTCCTTGAAGCACCTGTCAGTGTGAGTCTGTCCCTCTGTAGCTCCTTCATGCCTGCCCTCTCTCCCCATCTTAAATCTTGCCAGGGGCTGCCCTGTTCCCTGGGGATCATGCCCACACACCTTTTGCACCTTCTCTGTCCCCAGCTTCGTCTCTTGCTGACCACGCTCTGTGCTCCAGCCTCCCTGACCTCCTGGTTCCTTGAACCCTCCTCTTCCCTCAGGGCTTGTGGCCCGCTGCTCCTTCTGCCAAGAGCACTTCCTCTGCCCGGCTCGCCCCCCACCCCTCACCTCTGTCCGGTCCTCACACTTCCCTGTGGTGCTCTAGTGAGGGACTCAGGGTCTGTCTTCCACTGCCCGTGAGGACAGGCAGGGATCACATCTACTTTGTTCACCAAAATACTCCCAGTGCCCAGCACAAGGGCCGGCACATAGTGGGTGCTTTATATGTAAGGGATTGTTGAATATTTATAGATGAAGGAAGGGGTCTGTCTTGTCCTGTCTGCCCATCCAGTCTATGCACCTGATTAGACATCTGTCCTTCTGTCCACCCTGCCATCCATCTGGACGATTGCTTCTCTTTCCTTTCCTTCTACATAACTTAGTGGCCACCCATCCATCTTTCAGTCCTGCCTGCCTGTCTGTCTGTGTAGCTTAGCCTTTTGCCCCTCTGTCCATCCATCTTACAGATGCTAGGTGCGTGGTCAAGGCCCTACGGGGGACACAGTGATGATCTCCCTGGTTATAGAACAGTGACAGTGACAATGGGGAGAAGTCAGTTACAAGACACATGCCCTGAGGCAGCAGCGCAGCCAGTAGCTAAACTCAGAATTGGGAGCAGTTGACAATGGGTCAGGGCTGGCTGGGAGGCTTCCTGGAGGAGGTGGCTTTGAACTGGGCTCTTAAGTGGGAGTGATTTAGGTTGGCGCAGGGAAGAGACATATAATTAAGTAAGTAATGGCAGGAAGGGTGGGTGCTGGGTAAGAGGGGGGTCAGGGCTGGCTGGAGCCATGAGGGTGCACTTGGGCCACTCCTGCTCTGTCTGGATCCCCAGACCAGCGCCCCTCCCACCGCCTCACCCTCCCTCTGCCCCTCCCTCAGGTGCGGCTGACCCTCCTGCAGCTGAAGGGTCTGGAGGACAGCTATGAAAGCAGTGTGACCTTTCCGACTGGGAGGTTCACCATCAAACCCTTGGGGTTCCTGTAAGTGCCACCCCCGGAGCGGACAGGGTAGGGGAAAGGGCCCCGCGCCTTATAGTCAGACAGACCTGGGTTCCAGTGCCCATTCTGCCGCTGCCTGGCCCGGCCTCGGACCGCTCAGCTCACCTTCCAGAGCCTCAGCTTCCTCCTCTGGGAAAGGGGTGTGTAAGTGCACTCCCGGCAGGCACGGTGACCCTCTGGTGCCCGGCCCTGCCCAGCCTGTTGCAGCTTGCTGGGGACCTGGGAGACCTAGAGCCAGCCCTGAACAAGACCAAGAGCAAGCACGTCATGGGCTCTGGTTCATGCTCCGCCCTCATCAAGCTGTTGCCTGGCCAGAGTGACCTCCTGATCGCCCACAACACCTGGAGCTCCTACCAGAACATGCTGCGCATCATCAAGAAGTATTGGTTCCAGTTCCGGGAAGACCCCCAAGGTGGGTGGATGTGGGTGTATCTGTGCGCGTGGGCGCATGTGGGCGCGCGGGGCGGGCTGGAGGGTGGGCGGAAGGTGCGGGCCTCGGCCCCACGCACGCCGCGGGGCCGCCCTCAGAGTTCGTCTCATTTTTAACACGTCTGTTTCCTTTTAGTTCGTACTTTACAAGGTGTGTCAGTCACCTGTTGCTGCGTAACAAGTCAACCCCAGTGTAAAACAACCAAAGCTTGAGACCCAGCCATTTACTTGTGCTCGTGGGTCAGCCGGGTGGTTTTGTCATCCGGGGCCAGGCAGGCCTGGGTGATGGTGGCCGGGTCCCTGACGCTTCTGCGGTCAGCGGAGGTGGGACGGCCGCATTTGCCCGTCTGGGGCTTGGCCGTCAGCTGGGTGTTGGGGCGGCCGGGCCGGCGCAGGCTCCTTCGTGTGACATCTGGGCAGGGAAGCGTGGAAGGCCTCTTGAAGGCCGATTGAAACCGTTGCTCAAAGCAAGTCAAGTGACCCGCTCAGATATGAGAGGTGGGGAAGCAGAGCCTGCTGTCTGAGGTGAGGAATTGGAGGGTCCCACTGCAGACGGTATGGGTGCGAGATCAGGAAGAATGACGGCCATTTGCGCAAATGCTCAGCTGCGTGAGGAGCGTGCGAGTACGTTCTTCCTGTCCAATGTGAAAACTTTGCAACTAAGGCCCAAGTGCCCCAGAGTGGCTCCCCGCCCACCAATCCCCGGCCCCAGCGCCGCAAACCCCCCACCCCCACCCCGAGGTAGCCACTGTCACATGTTCGCAGTGCCTCCCTCTTGGCGACCCTTAAAAATCAAATGTTGCCAGGAGGTGGCGAGGCGGTGGGGAAACATACACCCTCCTCCTCTGCTTACGGGACTGGGGCTTGGTGCTGCCTCTTTGAAGACGAGCCCAGCCGGCCTCTAATAAGATTCAAAATCTGTCTCTCCCATGGTCCAGCAGTTCTTGGCTCGGGTCTGTCCCTAGAGAAACATTGCGACTTCCTGCACAGAGCCCGGGTACCAGGATGTCAACTACCATAATGGTTTGGAAACAACCTAATGCCCGTTAATTTCAAGTAAATGTCTGAATTGACTGACACGTATACAGAGAAGTGTGCGTGTCATTCGTGTAGAGCTGGAATGTTTGCGGCTTGAACGGCCCTGGGTGCAGCACCCACATTTGGCCTCACCCCAGCATAAGCTCCATCTGATTCTTACAGCATAGACGAGGTTTGCCTGATCTTGAACGTCACGCGAGTGGAAACACGCGGCATGTGCTCGCCTGTGTCTGAATTCTCCCGCTTAGCGTGATGCCTGTCGGGCTCATCCATATTGTCACCTGCGGCCATAGGTCTCTCCTTTCCGTTGCTGTAGATCCGTGAACACTGTAATGTCTTTTTAAAAAACCTACGTAAGGGGACGCCTGGCTGGCTCAGTCAGGAGAGCCTGCAACGCTTGATCTCAGGGTCGTGAGTTCGAGCCCCACGCTGGGAGCAGAGTTTACTTAAACAAAAACCTACATAAGTTATACACATGTTACAGAAAATTGGAAAATACAATAAAACATTCACATAGAATCACAATCACTTTGAATGCCGCACGACCCCTGGGAGATCATTTCGGAGACTATTTGGTTATGTTTTTTCCGAGACTGAAATATACTTTATTTTCCCATTTGCTTTAACTGATTTGTATTATGCTAGTAACATGTGAATACATTCGTGCGGACACAAATTCTAGCAATGTAGGTGAAGAAATACATCTCTCCCGTGAAACCCTTCTCCCAAATTCCAGACCCCTCCTAAAAGGACACCTGTTGCCACTTTCGTTTGGATCGTCTAGATTTTTTTGGATGCCTTTATAATGTGTATGTGTGAACCTTTTTTTTTTTGGTTAAGTCTTTATTTTTTATTATTTTTATTTTATTTATTTAATTTGTTTATTTATATTAAATATAATTTATTGAGGATGGCACCTGTTGGGAAGTCTTTATTTTTTAGAAAAGCTTTAGGTTTACCGATAAATTGAGTGGCTATTACAGAGCATTCCAATATACCTTCCCACTCCTTTCTCCTGTTATAAACATGTTGCATTGGTGTGGTGCATTTGTTAACAGTTGATCTAGCAATATCCATATGTTACTGTCAACCGAAGTCCTTAGCCTACATTCAAGTTCAGTCTGAAAAGTATGGTCGTACGGATTTTGGTGAATGCACGATGATGCGTATCCACCTTTATAGTATTATACAGAAGAGTTTCACTGCCCTAAAAAGTTTGTTTTAAAAAGTTAGGGTTAGGGTTAGGGGTTAGGGGTTAGGGTTAGGGTTAGCTCCAGGCTCTGAGCTGTCAGCACGGAGCCTGCGAGATCGTGACCTGAGCTGAAGTCGGACGTTTAACTGACTGAGCCACCCAGACGCCCCTGGCCTTGGAGAAGTTTTGATAATTGCCATGTTCAGTCCACCTTCTAACTGCTGGATGTTAAACTTTAAACTAGTTCTTAGTTGAGGACTTGGGCCACTTCCAGGTCTTTGGTGTTTGCAAGACAAGTGGGCCCCCAGGTAGAAACACTAGGTTAAAAGACGGGATAATTAAACATTTTAGTCTCAAGATGCACACAGCCAAACTGCCTCCAAAAGTGGCTGGGCCAGTTTACACTTGTCCACAAGGCTGGGAGGTATCAGCTTTCCCCTCAACCTTGCCAGCACTGGGTGTTATGGTTTTTTTCCATTTTTGACATTCTGATGGGTCATAAATGACATCCCGGACTGAGCTTTTTTTTTTTTTTTTGTATTAACTTTACTGATGGTTAGTTTAAACACACGTGTAGGATATATATATTGATGGGTTTTGACAAACACAGGCCATCATGTAACCGCCACTCAGTAAAAGCAGAGAACACTTCCGTCACCCAGGAAGGTCCTTGTGCCCTTTGTAGTTATCCTTCCGGCAACCACACCCCTGATCGCCTTTCCATTACATTAGTTTTGCCTGTTCTAGAACCTCATATACACACCCCCTGATTGGAGGCCTACTGTGTACTGCCGTGGGCTAGACGCTCTTCACCTTGGCACTCTTGGAAGTTAAATCCTTAAAGAAAAGGGAATCCCTTCCACTTTCGACAACATGGACGAACCTGGAGGGCATTGTGTGAAGTAAAATATATCGGACACAGAGAGACAAATACTGTATGATCTCATTTATAGGTAGAATCCTAAAGCGTGGAAGCAGAGAGTCGAAGAGTGGTTGACAGGGGCGGGGGGGAGGGTGAAGCAGGGGGACGTTGGCCGAGGGCACAAAGTTTCCGTTCTGAGATGAGTACGTTCTGGGGATCCGAGGTTAACTGGGTCGTGACACTTGAAATTTGGTAGGACACTTGAAATTTGGTAGGAGAATAGACTGTAAGTACTTTAACCCACATGAGATGGTAACTATGTGAGGTGATGGGTGCCCTCCAGAGCTTGACCGTGGGCATCATTTCACAGTGTGTGTGTGTGTGTGTGTGTGTGTGTGTGTGTGCATCAGACCATCACACTGCACACAGTGAATACAGGCAACTTTTATTCATCAGTTAGATCTCAGTAATTCATCGGTTGTATCTCAGTAAAGCTGGAAGACAAACAAAAACAAAGCCCGTGTGCTCAGACTTCTGGGTTTTGCCCTCTGAATTATCATTTTTACAATGGGTCTTTGCAACTAAAAAAAAAAAACAAAAAAAAAACCAAAACGGGGGGGTGGAATGCCAAGGGGTGCCTGGGTGGCTCAGTCAGTCAAGCGTCGGACTCGATTTCGGCTCAGGTCATGATGTCACGATGGTGAGATCGGGCCCTGTGCTGAGCGTGGGGCCTGCTTGGGATTCTCTCTCTCCCTCCCCCTCTGCCCCTCCCTTGCTCTCCCTCTCTCTTTCAAAACTAAACTGTTACTAAAAAAACTTAAAAAGGAAAGCCAAAGCGTTCTAGTAAATGAAATATATTTTTAAAGAAATGTGTGTGTATATATATATATCTCTATTTTTTTTTTTTTTTTTTTTGCTACTGGCTTTCCTTTTTACACATGCACACACAGACGCACACACACACACACACACACACACACACACACGGCAAAGGCATGGTTTGCTACACATCAGAACGGATGGAGGCCCCCCCTGAGGCTGCTGCTCCCCATCTGGAGGCTCTGTGTCTTGGGCGGGGGCGCAGGGGTCCCCGGATGGGCTGATCTGACCTGCACCCCTATCCCCCGCTGGGCTTACTCTCCCCCCCCCCCCCCACAGTGAATTCTCCGCCGGCTCCTGGCAACAAGCTGGTCTTCTCATCCTACCCTGGCACCCTCTTCTCCTGTGACGACTTCTACATCGTGGGCAGCGGGCTGGTGAGTGTCCCTCTCGTGTCGCCTTTCTCCCCGGGGCTGCCGATCCCCAGTCCCTGCCGGGGCTCCACATTGTCTGCTCCGCGATCACCCCCTCAGCGATCCGTCGCTGGTTTGGGGGCCCGTTTGCGGTTTTGTTCGTGTGCCTTTAGCATACGCCGCCCCTCCCTCCACCGTGACCTTGCTGTTTCTCGTGCTGCCTCCCCTCTTGCCTTCCGCACACGCCCTCTAGCCCGGCCAGGTTTTCTGAATAAATGTTGTTTCCAATGCGTTGTTTTTAATCGGTTTTCCTGGCCGGGGTCCAGACTCGTTTAGAAATCTGTTCCTGAGCCCTGAGATTGCAACATGCGGAGGAGAAAAAACATTGCTTTAAAATAATACCCTCCTCGCAGAAGGTGCCAGTTCCCGGAGTGGGGTGGGGGGGGGGGGGCGGCGGGGAGGGGCTCCTTCCTTCCCTGCTGCTTTCTGAGAGAAGCATGGGGTTTAGTTCCCTTAAATGTGGAAGGAAGCGCGAGAGGGCCAGGTCGTGGGGGCGGGGACCCCCTCGCTGCAGGCCTAGTGGGGAAAGGAAGGTACATTCTGGGGAAGGACAACTGAGAAGGGTTCACCCAGTTCCTTGGCAGGTGCCCCGGCAGGCAGTTAACCTTCCAGCAGCGTCCTTGACTGTTTCTGTGCCACGAACGCCTTTGGCAGGCGAGGGGGTTGTGGACCCCCTTCTCAGAGTAACGTTTTTAAACGCACAAGCCAGAACATAAGGGATCATAAAGGGAACCAATTGTACTGAAACGCGTTGATCGAAATACCACGTAAGGAACCTTTGCGTGTTGTACACGTGCTGCTTGCTGAACGCGCTGAAGGCCTGACCACCGTGACGGTCTCAGGTGCCACTCGTGCCACGGGGAGCCGCCAGTGGAAGGAGATGCCGAGTGTCAGTTCGGTGGAGGTGGGAACAGAGATGCACTGTTTTCCGCTCCCAGTCTGCCGGCTCCCCTTGTCCCGTCCCGGCTCAGAGCTCCCCTGCCCCGAGAGGGGAAACCGCCCTCCGGGGCTTTCCGGGCCACGCCGGTCCGAGTTCTGGCAGTGGCTTTGGGTGCTAAGAGCAGTAGAGCGAGGGACAAGGAAGGGACGGGGTGGAAGGAGTGGAAGAAGGCGTTCCCACCCGGGCGTTGCTATCACGGATTGGTGTGAGAGCCGGAAGTTCGGTGATGGAATCTCGGCCCATCCGCTTACCAGCCATGACCTTTGGCACGTCCCCTGGCTGTTTCGGGCCTCACTTTACCTTTCAGTGAAGAGGGGCATCAGAGGTCCTGCCGCGTTTTCCTCAAGCCCCCCGACTTGCCCTGCAGAACTGCAAGCCAGGTGTAGAAATGGGATGCCGTCTCTCTGGGGAAAGATTTGACCGACTTGGTCGGGAGAACGGGTCCACAGGAGCAGTGCCGTGGGCTCTGTCGGGGGCTGTTCTCCGGGACAAAGCTGGATGCGTGATCGTGAAGCCCCCTCGGCGCTCGGCCAAGGAACCAGTGAGGAACGCGCACCCAAACCCGGACCCGGGGTTTCCAAAAGCTGTGAATAACCAGCGTGCGGACCACGATTGGGGCAGCATTGCCACTTGGTGGCAGCGTGCCCCGGTCGTAAGGCAGGTGGCCCCTCAGTGCAGCGTCCCTTCTGCTCTCCCACAGGTGACACTGGAGACCACCATCGGCAACAGGAACCCGGCCCTGTGGAAGTACGTGCAGCCCGAGGACTGTGTGCTGGAGTGGGTCCGCAATGTCGTGGCCAACCGCTTGGCCCTGGACGGGGACGCCTGGGCGGACATCTTCCAGAAGTTCAACAGTGGCACGTGAGTGGGCTTCTGGCACTGTGGCCTCCTCATCCCCGAAATGGACCGACCCCCCCCCCCAACAGTCACGCCCCCGGGGACCTGACGTGGCACCAGGGCCACATACCCCACACCCTCCGCAGAGCCCTCATGGTTCTTCCTGGAGTTGGAAAGTGCCTTAAAGTCTTCTCCCTTGTCTTATATTTAGGGAAACTGAGGCTCAGGAAAGGAAGGGCTTTGCCCCTCTCCTGCAGGCTCTTCTATCCAGGGACAGGCTCTAAGAGGGAGGCCAGGAAGAGAACCTGGAATAGGGGAGCTCTGGGGACAGGGAAGGGCTGTGTGAGGAAGGGGACATGCGCGGATGAGGGCCTGTGAGCCAGAGACACTGGAGCTGGACATTGCAGGGCCTTGGAAGGTTGGGCAGAAAAATTGACTTCTGTTCCAATAAGCACTGGGGAGCCATAGATTCCTCTGGAGCAGGCAGACGGTATGATGAGAGCTGACGACACCTGTTCAAGCTGCAACGTCAGGGTGACAATCAGACGGCCGGACTTCCCCCACCCCACCCCACCCCCACCCCATGAGTCCCTACTCCGCGGGCCACTGGGGCGGTGGCCCCAGGGTGTGTTCAGTCCCCCTTCCTTGGGCACGGCAGGTACAACAACCAGTGGATGATCGTGGACTACAAGGCGTTTGTCCCCGGCGGGCCCAGCCCTCGGAGCAGGGTGCTCACTGTCCTGGAGCAGATCCCGTGAGTACTGGGGGAAGGACGGAAGGGTGTTCCAGGCAGAGGGAACTGCCTAGGCAAAGGTCTGGAGGCATGCTGGAATGTGTGTGGGAAGGTGTGGGAAGGCGAGCATCTGAGGAAGGCCAGGTGGGAGAGGGGAAGATTCAGGATGCAATCTACCCCGGGGCAGTGGGGAGCCATCAGGGGTTCTGGAGCAGGGCAGCGCCCACAGGTGCTCCTTTTCTCACCGGTCTTGCCCCGTCTCTCTTCTCGGTCCCAGGGGCATGGTGGTGGTGGCCGATAAGACCTCGGAACTCTACCAGAAGACCTACTGGGCCAGCTACAACATCCCGTATGTCCCCACCCCTGCCCCATACCCGCCTCACCCTTGCTCAGCTCTCCGGGCTGGCCAGGGGTCTTCCGTGCGTGATCTTTTCAACCCGTGGAGCAGAGAAACCGCTCTGCCCTTTCTTTGGCCAGAAAAGCCCTGCCGGTCTGGGGGCTTAGGTCTGCACCCACGGCAGGGTGGTGGGGGTTGGCCCGGCTCAGGTGCCGACCCCTGCGGTGGCTCCCTCGCCGTGTGTCCTGTAACTAGGCTGCGCAGCCGCAACCTCTTGGCCCTCTGTCCTCTGCCAGACGAGAGATTTGACGCTTACGACCCCCTCCCGGCAGCCACGGCCACTGTTCCCATGTCACAGATGAGGAAACCGAGGCCTTGCGCGAATGCCTGCCTTTCCTGAGGTGCCTTCCACAGCTGTTCAGTGGCGAAGTCGGCATCTGAACCCATGTCTCTGGGACTGCAGAGCCTCAGCTTGGTCACCTCACCAAGCCGCACCCCCCCCCCCCCCCCGCCCCGGCCTCAACGGAAGATGTTGTTGCTGTCCTGTCGTGGTTGTTAGTGATCATGTTCTGGAGTGACCCCCCCCCCCCCACCTCCCGGGCCACAGCCGGCGCGGTCAGAGGCCGGGAGTGACCCTCCTTGTGCCCCGTAGGTACTTTGAGAGCGTGTTCAACGCCAGCGGGATGCAGGCCCTCGTGGCCCAGTACGGGGACTGGTTCTCCTATGACAGGAGCCCCCGGGCCCAGATCTTCAGGCGGAACCAGTCGCTGGTGCACGACTTGGACTCCATGATCCGGCTTATGCGGTGCGTGGGGCAGCGGGAGCCCCGAGTCCCGTGGGGGCTTCCTGTGCACTTTCCTGGCCCTTGTGTGACCCTCACGGCGAGCCCGGGGACCGCGGGGCGACGGCCAGCTGTAGCCGCGGGTGCGGGAGCCCCGTGGCGCTGTCCTGTTCCGGGCGAGGGTGCCGGGCAGCTGTGGGGTGGGCCACCCCGTGCCAGGCACCGTGCCCAGTGCCAGAGAACCCGCACCGAGCAGGGGCGCCCTGGCCGCGGGGGGCGCGGAGCCCGTCAGGCGCGCGCACCGATGTGGGCGTGAGCTCGGGCTGGCGGAGCCCCGAGAGGTGCCAGAGGGGGGCAGGATGGGGCATCTAGCCCGGCTGGGGGTTGGGGGCGGCCTGAGCAGAGACGAGCCGCTGAGCATGGCGCGCGCAGGTGCAGGGGCGAGGGAGGCCCGGGCGGCGGGGTGGGGAGGGTGGGGGGAGCGGGTACCTGAGGGCGGGTGGCTTGTCCCGGGGGCTCTGCCGCCACGGGGAGCTCAGCCCCCTCCTCGGCCCCCTCTTCCCGGTGCGACTGATGCCCCCTCCCTTCCCTCATCCAGGTACAACGACTTCCTGCACGACCCACTGTCACTGTGCAAAGCGTGCAGCCCGCAGGCCAACGCAGAGAACGCCATCTCGGCCCGCTCCGACCTGAACCCGGCCAACGGCTCCTACCCTTTCGAGGCCCTGCAGCAGCGCTCCCACGGGGGCATAGATGTGAAGGTACGGCCCCGCCCTGGGCCTGGGGGCTGGGGGTGGGCTTGGGGAGGAAGGGGGAGGGCGGTGGTGACGGCTCAGGTCAAAGCGGATGGCAGGACAGGAGGCAGGGTCGGCGCTGGGCTGCGGTGGGGGTCAGAGCTAGGGCTGGGGGTCGGGGCCGTCCGGATTGGGGCGGCTCGGGGCCCGGCCTGGGCTGGTGCTCAGCGGCCTCTGCCCTGGCCCCCAGGTGACCAGCATGGCCCTGGCCAAGGCCTTTCAGCTTGTGGCGGCCAGTGGCCCCACGTGGGACCAGCTGCCCCCGTTCCAGTGGAGCGCCTCGCCCTTCAGCGGCCTACTGCACATGGGCCAGCCCGACCTCTGGAAGTTCTCGCCCGTCGAGGTGCGGTGGGACTGAGCCTCCGTCTCAGCCCCACCGACCCCCGCGGGGCCACCACAGGCCGCTGCCCCGACGTCCCACCCGCCCGCTCCGTGGGCTTCGTCACCTGCCGTGCCCAGATGTGGGACCCGGGTCTGCCAGGGTTACTCTCATCTGGGTCGTCTCCTAGATGGGACACGAGGCCCGCCGGGGCCCAGCACTGACTCGTTCGCTCTCCGTAAGTGGGCGAGTGCCGCCCTTGTCCCCTGCCTCTGCACCTCTCTCTCTGCCCTGTCTGCTTCTCTCTCTCCCCCGGCCTGGGGCCCTGTCCTCATGCTGCCCTCTCCTGAGGGCTTGGGAGGGGTCCTGGGGTGGGGTTCGGGGCCCCTGCTGGGGCAGCGGGGGACTGTCTGGGTCCCTGCCTCCTGGTGTCATTCCTGCCGGTGGCTCTGGAGCTTGTGGGGTTTCGGCCCCGAGACCTGGGCGTTGCCTCTGGTTGGCATCCGTCCTGCCACCTCCCGCCCCTGCCCCCCTCGGGAAGCAGCCCCCTGGTTTCCCTCCTGGGCGGCTTCCCTGAGGACAGAAACTTGAACACAAACAAAAACCAAAGTTTCTGGTGACTTGTGGCTGCGGGGGTGTGAGTGTGCCTCGTTGGCCTCGTTGGCTGCAGCCTCTTGCCCCTTGCCCCCCAGCTTGGGCCTGCCCTTGGCCTCTGGGCCGTGCCCACAGCTCCCCTGCTGTAGGAACCAAATCGCAGGCTGTGCTGCCATTAAATGAGAGGCCGTGGCCCCTGTGCTGTGCTTTTTGGGGCAGTGGGGAAAGCTGGGTTGCTGCCTTTTCTCCTCTCTGGTTTGGGTTCTAGACCATCCACTCTTGCATTCTCTTGTCCATTCTTCTGTCTATCCACCTATCCATTTATTCATTTGCCAACCCTCCTATCTGTATCTACCCACCCACCCAGCCAGCCAGCCACCCATCCATAGATCCATCCATCCATCCATCCAGATGTTCATTGAGCACCTACTTTGTTCTGGGTCCTGTCCTGGGGCCTTCTGAGCCAACAAGACTTTCCCAAGTTCCACTGTGGGGTACTACACAAGACGAAACAGAGCCTGTCACCTTCTGACCTTAGCCGGCCGGTCGACCCCAGCCCTCAGCGCCTCAGCTCTTGTAGTGGGCGGAGGGGTCTGCCTCGCCTCTTTTGGGGGCTTTGTGCCGACACAGGCGGGACAGTGGAGGCTGGAAGCAATCCAGTGTTCTGGGCAGGTTTTCTTAAACTGAGCGCTATTTTAGTCGCAGTCTGGCCCCCGGGGGGCTGTTCTTCCAGCCCTTCCTTGGTATTCCGTCCCCTGTAAGATACATGTGTGCCCCTCCTGGCTGGCAATCGGGGCATGGGCCTGTGTCCCGGGCGGGCTTGGGGTGGGGTCCCCACTCTCCCCTGAATCTCACAGCCCCTGCTGTTTGCTCGGCTGGGTGGGACTCTGCGGAGGGAGCCGCATCGTGTCCTGAGGGGCTCCGGGGGGGGGGGTCTCAAGCTTCACCCTGACCTTGGGGATTCAATGAATTGCCTGAGGCTGCTGCCGGAGGCGCAGGGATGCCCGTGAGCAGCGTGGGTGCCCCTCTCGGACCTCGGGGAGCCCTGGCAGGCCTTCCTCGGTCTGTTTTCGTTCGCTGGCTTCCGCCCACGCTTTCCTCGGAAGACCGGTGTCGTGGTTTGAGTGACCTTCCCTTCAAGTCCGCCCCTTCCCCTACCCCGGAGATGGGTGTCCAGTCGGTGTAGCTTTGCCCACCCCCACCGGTAGGGGGCTCGCTGCTCTGCTCCCAGCGGTTCTGTGCTAAGTCATTCGAAGCCTCGTCCGCCTCTGCGGCTGGTTCCGCCTCCAGTGGAGGCCGCCCTTGCCCCAGCTCTGGTTCAGCGCCCTTCCTTGCTTCCTGCTCGCTGTCTCCGGGCGCGCGAGCCCAGCTGCGCGCAGGGTCCTGGCCTCCGTGTCCTCGGGGGCCCCGAGGTTACAGGGGTGAGGGTGCAGGGAGCTCGCTGTTGACAGCCGAGGCCGCGAGCGGGCGAGTGGGGTGGGGGAGGGGAGGGAGGCCGACTGCGATGGAGGAGGAGCCCAAAGGACCTTCAGTCCATAAATATATTGTTTTCTTTTTCAACGAAAAAGTCTGCAATTAGAAAAACGCCTGAGGGCGGGGCTTGGGGGGGGGGCAGCCGGTTCTCAGTTCTGGCCCCTGGCCCCGACCATGGCGGGCCCCCTCCAGGGAGGGGGCCCACCCCGCCCTGGGGACCTGGTAGGGGACACGCGGGCAGCCGTCGCCTAGCAGGGGTGGCCAGGATAGTCGCGCGGAGACGCCGGAGAGGTTCAGATCCAGCCTCGCTGGCGGCCGACCCGTCCCCCACCTTGGGGCTTCGGCCCCTCGGCCCAGAAGGAACCGAAGGAACCGCCGGTCGGGGCCGCAGGCTCACCGGCAGACGCAAGAATAATATTTACAGTGAGACGCTGGATAAAACTCCAGCTCACCCGGGGGTACCTACCCCCCACCCCCGCCCCGGCTAGGGGAGGCCGGCCGCGGAGAAAGGCCCTCACTTGGGCAGCCCGTTCTTCATGCCCAGCTGTTCCTTGAGGGCCCGCAGCTGGCCCAGACTGATGTTGCTGCCGCCACAGACGATGACCACGAGGGAGGACAGCGGGGCACGGAGCTTCCCCTCCGCTTGAAGCTTCTGAACCACGCGGCTGTACACGGCGGCCAGGGCCGCCCCGCAGGCGGGCTCCACCAGGATCTTCTCGTCATCTGCCAGAGGAGGGGGTGATGAGGGTGGGGCCTGGCTTCCGCGGGGGGCAAGGGGACTGTTGGGTCCCTGGGAAAGACTCGGGGCTAGGAGTCTGGGCACCAAACCTCCCATCGCTATCCTAGTTGACCTTCGGAACCCTGAGGCAGGGCTGGGTTTCACCCGGAGCGCTCCCACCGATGCATGTTAACTGCCCGAGCACTGTGTTGAGAAGGCTTGGGCTGTCACTTGAGCAAGACCGCCATGGTTGATTAGCCAAACTGCTGGCTGGTACAGGAGGATTAAGTGCTCCCTTTTGTGTGTGTGTGTGTGTGTGTGTGTGTGCGCGCGTGTGTGTGCACGTGTGTGTGGTCCCTGTCCTAGGCTGAACCCAGAAAGAGTCCAACCGCATCACAGACCCACTTCTGAAGCCAACCCTAGGGTTGGCTTTCCTTTTTCACCCTGGCTACCAGGAAGCTCCCTGCTATCATGGTTATCAGTCCTCTTCACTTGTGGCTCTGGCCTTTCTAGTTATACCGCTGCCTTGTATTACCTTTCATTAACGGGAAGTTCTAGCAAGGGGTGGGAGACAGAACTGTGAGGAAAATTTGTCGTGAATGGGATCTGTTAGGTCACCAGTTAGTCCCTGAGCCGTCAGGGCTTGGAAGGACTTGGCACATACCCACAAACTTCTCGATGGCGGCCACAGCCTCCTGGTCCGAGATCACCTCAGAGAAAATGGGGTGTTCCTGAAACAGCTTCAGGGCCTGAGCCCCCACGGTCTTCACGCACAGGGCCTTGGCCACACTGGGAGAGGTGGTGATGGAGAAGAAGGCCGGAACGGGGGAAAACAGGAGGGAGGAAGGCGGCAGAGATAGGGACGAGGAGGGATAGAAAGAGAAAAATGGATTTGAGAGGGAGGAGGGAAGTGGGGTCCACGGGCAGGGGCGCGGGGCATGCCCTCTGTGGCTGTAAAGCACTGAAAGGCCCCAGAGGCTCCCCGTCAGAGTGAGGTCTCCTAAGACGCGGAGGCGTGAGTGGGGTAAATAGCCTATCCTGATCCACGTGGACGGAAAAGCCCCCTTGCGGTTCCCTGAAAGGACGCCACCTGCTCGACCCTCCCTAAGCTGGGCACCACTCTGCCCGTCCAAGTCCCGCCCTGTCCTTCAAGGCTCAGGATTAAGGCCACCTCCTCCAAGGAGTCCCCCAGGGACTCCAGTGCCTGTCTCCGGACGGAACTCTCAAACGGTCGGTCCTCCCCCATAAACAGACATAGCGACCCCTTCTCGAGGGAGTATGAGGTACCACCCGTTTCATGCGCATTTTTAAATCCTCACGGCTGTGTTTGCCATTCCACTGGTTCGATTCCGTGGAAGAGGAAACCCAGGCAGAGAGCACGCGGGTCACTGGCCCACGGTTATGTGTTCAGGGAGTGGTGGTGTGGGCACCCGGAGCAGGATCCACGTAACCCTGGGACCTGCACGCGTAATCGGTGCCTTGTCTTTCTCTCCGCCCTCCCTGGAGTCATCGTCAGCTTTATTCCCAGCTCACGTCTCCCATGAGCACCTGCAGCCTGAACCACCTGAGCCCTGAGCCCTGGCACGTGACTCGTGGTAGGCACTCCGCCATTATTTCAATGCCTACGGCGCAGGATCAGAGGCCAACATGGTGGCTGCTGGGTACCAGGCTCAGGAATCCACAAGGAGGTCTCACCTGGACTCAGTCTTCCCTATCTGAGGTAGGGACCTGTCTACCCAATATCTGTTCTAGCTGCACACGTGGAGACCCGATAGGAAGACATTTCCCAGCCTCCCCTGCAGTAGTTGTGGCCATGTGACTAAATGCTGGCCAGTGAGAGGTCAGTGGAAGTACTGTGTCTTTAAAGGCAGGGGGCATGGCTCTTTCTGGCCAGATGGACCGTGGGTGTGACAGTTGGCACTTAGGCAGCCCTTTTGGGCCGTAAGGCTACATGATGAGGATGATGGAGAACAAACTCGAGGAACCTGGACCCCTGGCTTCAGGGAGCTCCCTGCCCCGAGACTGTGTACCTCTAGACATTTTTTTCACTTTATAGAGAGGAAGTAAAGCTCCATTTTGTTTAAGTCACTGTTACTTGGGCCTCCTGTATAACGTGCCAAACCTAATCCTAATTACATACCATCTGTCAAAGGTTCGGGGCTGGAATATGAACTCCTTAGGAGCAGGGGCTGTGTTTGGTCACCACCCTGTCCCCGGGATCAGCAATGCTTGCACCTGTTAGGGGCTCAGACTGGCCCCTGTTAGGGGCCAACCATTTGGCAGATTAACGAGGGGTGTAAAACCCTGTGGCAGGGGCCTCGGTCAGTGATTTAACAGTGAACTCTTCACGTGAAGAAATGTGACGTTCATCCTACAGAGTCACACAGACCTGGGCTCGGTCCCAGCAGACCCACTCTCTGGCCGTGTGACTCTGGGCAAGTGGAAAGCCTCAGTTTCCTCGTCTGTAAAATGGGACGGGTAGCGGGGCTCTGCCTCGCAGCGGGCACCAAGGTGGGCTTCCCAAGGCCTGCTGAACATCCGCCGGAGGGGGCCCCGCTGCTCACCTGGTAACCTGGGGCAGGGAGACGAGCTTGCCCGCGGTGGTGGCGGCGTGGAAGCTGTGGGCTCCGGCGGTCTCCATGGCGATGACGGGCACGTCCCCCCAGCCCACCTTCTGCAGCCCCTGGACCACTCCGCACAGCAGGCCCCCGCCACCCACCGACAGCGCGATGGCCCCCGGCTTTGCACTCAGCGTCTCCTTCAGTTCTTCTACGATGGAAGTGTGGCCTTCCCTGGAGAGTTAGGGACGGGGTGGGGGGGGGGGGGTCAGGGCTGGGCTCCCTGGAGACCCCACGGGGGCTGGGGGCGATCCTGGAGATGCTCGTCCTCAACCCAGGCGGCTGACGGGCTTTGGGCCAGTCGCCTCCTCCCCACCTCCACCCGGGTTTCCGGCTGCCCGCATCAGTCACCTGCCCACGAGAGCCCTCTGTCGCCCCCTGCACCG